TTATCTCAGCTGTTGTGATCAGTTTGTACTTGCCTCATTTCTTGCCAGGAAACAGACATCCAAGTAGCTGTTGGATGTCTGCCTTTCACTTTTACTTGAATAAAAATAAATGCTGGAGTAATCCTACTCCATCCACTTTAATGATGAAGTTTCTCCTGTAAAGAAACTTTATCAGAACCTGCTTTCCAGAACAATTTAAACCGGTTTAGATATTACTATAAAAGTTGATTACTGTCTTCCCTGCTCACATTAGAAAGATGTGCACAGTAAGTGTCAAAGCTGTATTTTTACACTTCATTACGCTGTTCACAGTAAGCACAGCCAATCCAATTAATGAACTTGAATGCGTTCAGATTGTATTTTCCCCCCAAGCCCATGTCAGTCACTGAGGTGCACCACCCATGCTCAAATAGTGGTTGGGCAACATCCAAGTTGTTGGCTGCTCGGTGATTTCAGTAACATAAGGTGTATTTCTTCTAACAGTGTTTTTGCGACACGTCAGAGTAAAGACAGGCATCAGTGGCACCTGATTTACAAAGTGAAATCCTTCCTTACTTAAACTAAAGTAGATCAAATGTTCAGTCCTGGTGGATTTCAGCTTTTAGAGATAATTGGATCAACCCTAATTTTCTGTATCATTGAATAAATAATCTGGACAGGGAGCTGCTTGTGCAGTGAAGTGCACTCCTTTGCCCATGGGGTGTTTCCAAGCCTACTTCTGCTTAGCATAACATTCTATTTGCAGCCTGTTCAGCAGCCCAACTTTTAAAGGTATCACAGTAAAACAACAAGAGCTGAAAACGCAGCTTTACCAATTTGCAGGAAGCCGAAAGAGATTCTACAAACATCTCTTTGTAAAAGGTAGATTATATGGTACTGCAAAAGTAACATTTAAAAACGGAAAACATGTTAAATACAGTGATTTGCATAGATTTTTTTTAAAATATTTTGTCAAGTTAAAACCACAAACTAGGTTTTTATATGTTATACCAACCCAAAGTAATGCTGTGGTACAGATTTCAACATTTTTATAGGTAAAAACCTTAAAGGTGTTCATTTATATTCAACCTCTTTACTCTGATATCTCTAAATAAAATCCAGTGTGACCAAAATTCACCTAATACATGAACAGACTGTGATTTAATGTCAGCATAAATCCAGCAAAGGCTTCAAAACATTGAACAAATCATCTTCAAGCTTTGCAAACTATCAACTGCATCAAAATAAACATTTGACGTAATAACACGCAGGAGTCAGATCAGTGTAACACATTTCCATCTCGGGATACAAAAGCATGCTGCTAAGCATTCTGGGAAATAGTTCCCACTTCCTGTCTTTAACTTCTTTCAGTTTTTTTAAGTGCTAGCCTGAAAACTCTAGTTTATTCAATTCTTGGAGGTTTGACAAAATTAACAAAAACGTAACGCAACTTACTACTATAAGTTTATTTTTCACAAACTCACACATTTAGGTTCAAAATCTAAAACTTGCTAAATTTATTTGACTTAAAGAGTAGAAGATAGTAGACACAACTAAACGCGGCTCAAATGTTTTGCAGCGTAGGATTTTATTTAAGGGTAAAACATTACAGGTGGCTGAATACTGGAGAAAACCCCTTTCTATAGATTTTACACAGTAAAAACTGCTGGGTTAAAAATAACCCAATACGTAACCCAGCGCTGGGTCATATATGGACCGACCCAACGCTGGGTTGTTTTAACTCAACTGAAAAACATTCAGATTAGCTCAAAAGAACTTTTATTTGCAAATGTTATATATTCCAACATACATGAAATTTTTAACACAGACATGTAAAAGTTACATGATTAAACAATTGATTAAATCCGCACCCTTTTTTAACTTTATTGGTGTACACATACAGAACTATTTTCATCAAGAGTTTGAAAGAAATGTAAAAAAAAAAGAAGGTTTTTAAGTCAGAACATTTAAAAGTTATTTGAGGGTTATTGAAGAATTACATTTATTCTTCCATGGCCTCCAACTGGGCCCTCATTAATTTTATCGGGGGTGACTCGTTCCCTGGGATTTCATATAACACAGTTTGGAGAAAATCCCGAATCTGGATACACGACTTCGGATAACACATCAAAAACGAAGAACGACTTGAAACAGCCGTCAACAGCCCCCAAAAGAGATGGATATTCCAAAGCAGTTCCATTTATGACAACAAATGCTTGGGAACAACAACACCTGTCCCCAAGCATGAGAACACGTGGATGCTCTGTCGCTGTACTTCCAAGATATTCCACCATATTTGTCCCAATCTGGAGTGTGGAAAAAGCAAAAAGGAAGTCATTAGTCATTTAAAAGGTAAGAAGGAACATTCCCCACTAATAATTTTTGACTAATTCTTGTTTGATACATAATCAAAAGACCCTTGCGTTTGAAGTTTACATAAAGACATATTTTTGGTCAACACTGTCTCGTGTTATATGACATTAAAATTCTCATTTCACGTCAATTAGGACTTGGTAAATTCCAAATTAATGACAGGGAGAACAGGGAGAAAAAAAAGCATATTTGTTTTAAACTTCTGGTTTCAACTACATTTAAACAGCAAGGAACTCATTCTGACATGAAGACAGACTTACTGGCTGGACATCAATGAAGGCTTGCTGGACTTGCAGTTTGCTGGGTCTGGCCACCTTTCGTCCAACTCTGTAGGGGACAGCAGGGAGGAGTTTTGGCAGCAGCTGCAGTGCCACGTCACCTTGTTTGTCTGTCAAAGAAAAACTCAGATTAAAATGTGACGCAATCAAAAAAGAGCTACAGGAGGAAAAAATTGTTCAGAAAATGTTCATTTTGAGCTTCAATACCTTGTGGAAGCAATTCAATCTCAGGCAGAAGACCGCTCTCCTCCTCCTTCCCCATGCGAATGACCTTTGATGAGAACAAGGTGTTCCAGTTCTCTGCCAGTTTTCCACAAGACTGTGGATATAGAACGGCAAAGTCCTGCAAAATCTAACAATCAGAAAAGACAAAAATACAAATCAAATGTAAAAGTGAAATGAACTATTGAATTCAACCTTTCATGGGTGCTACAAATGTATGTTCTGGGTGGTTTGATATTTTGAGTTTGATTGCAATTGTACATTTACACATGGTATTGCGGTTGATTGTTTAACGTTTAACTGATCTCAGTATGAGGTATAACCTCACCATCCCTGGTGTGTCCAACAAACGTGGGAACTCTGCAAAAAATCTGCTGCACTGGGATTGTCCCACTTGAGCGGATCCATCCTGCAGTTTCCCGCATGTATTGGACAACCTGGTCTGCGGGCCAGATGTTATTTTTTAGCCATTCTGTCATCTGGATGGCACGCTCAGCACTGATGGTTGGTTCTGTGGGGAAAAAAGTATTACAGAAATTAAAATCAACAATGTGAGGTCATTCACAGCAATGATAAGAGTTTAAATTGCTGCTCAAAACAATAGGGGCTTGGAAAACGTCTATGTGCTAGTACCAGGCAAACTTAATCTTTTTGGTGGAGCTTCTGGAGCTGAAAGCGTCTTTTTCCTTGAGTGCTGCCATTTCCTTACGTTACGCAGGCGCTCCTCCAGAAAGCCAGTTGCTGGCCCGTGTTGTCTTCCGCGGGTAAACCATGCGTCCTGATCATTTTTAACAGAAGAAATATGTTAAATGTTGGCCTGTTTTAATGTCCAAATTTTTATTAAGCCTACAACTCAAAGCTCAAACAGCATAGTTATAGTTACAATGATATTTAATGCTAACCATTGTGCAAGTTGTTGAAGTACTTGTGTGTTAGTTCTCTGAAGTGTGAAAACTTACATATCCTGTGCCATGGCTGTCTCTTAAACATGGAAACTGGTCCACAATCGAAGATGCCAGAACTGCCTTAGTGTCTGAAGATGGGCAGTAAGACTGGCAAGCAAAATATTTTATTTTAATTAGTTACTGTAAGATGAAAACATAGAGCAGAAACCTTAAAACACAAACAATTTCCAAAAAATCCATATAGTTTTTATTAGCCCAACACATACTTTAAGACTTCTTACTGGAGAAATTTTACTTAGGTGAGCACTGCACAATGCCGTTAATGTTCTCACCAAGAGCAAAATGTCACAAAAACAACCCAATTGATCCAGTTTTTACAAGAAATACTCACTTTTCTCCATATTGATCCATCAGGTGATCCATGCACCGTCTTTCACGAATGGACATACGTTGGTTTCCGTCGAGACTGACAAACACAGGTCTACCTTCAGGGGAGGCACTGAGGATCTCACGGATATTCGAGAAATAGTTAATGTGAAAAATAAAATAGCTGTTATTTAGCTGCAGTTTACTATACTTAGAAATTTCAGGAAAGATGAGATGTCTCATTTTTAATTTTAATTAGTAAGAATGCATGTCAGTATGTTAATGTCAAATTTATTTATATAGCACTTTAAAACGGGTATAAAACTGCACCAAAGTGCTGTACAAACACAAATGACAAAACAGAGTAAAAACAATACATCAATTAAATGCCAAAGAGTAAAAATGAGTTTTAAGAAGTGATTTAAAATGATCCAGGCTGTGGGCAGATCTAATCTGGAAATGGTCAATGGTGAGAACTTTTTGCTCAATCAGTGCATTTAACATAAGCTTAACTTCATAACCTCCGACTCCTTCAAGAATGTGATGCATAATATCAGGAGCAACGTTGTCAGTGACATGATAGAATAGTAACTTAAGAAAACTCTTAATACCAGTTTGAAACTGGTTGTGTAGAAGACAGTCCGAATTGTAATTAGCTTTGTCACGCAATGCTGAAGGGTCTTCAATTGTCTGTACCTTCAGAACATCTCTGTGTATGCGACACCACCTACACACACTATTTCCAACAAAACTTTCTGTGTAGCCCAGTATGCTGTTTAGTCCAAGGTTGTCCCCACAGACCTGTGCCACTCCAGCCTTGACAGTCCCTTTGAAATATGGAGTTTCTACATGAAAGCCAGTCATTTCCAGATCTTTAATTTCACAATTTGCTCTAATACAGCATTTAGTTCATAGGTTTTTACATCAGCAGTTTTGTACACTGCCAACAAAAAGTGAGATTTTAAACTAGAAAGAAACTCTTGTGGCAAGCACTTCATGGTATAGTATATAAACCCTAATTTATGGACCGTTCTTGATCCAAGTGGATTATCCATCTTGCAGTCATCATTGTAAAGTGCTAATGGTGTAATGCTTAGAACTGAGGACCCAAAATTTCAATCAGACAAAGTAGAAAAAAAAAAGAAGATCTTTATTGAAGATCAGGGTAGGGGCCAGGCAACCACCGGCAATGGGACAGGAACCGCTGAGGACGGAGAAGCAGGTTAGTGGGTTGTAGTCTTGGGGTGTCTAGACTGAATAAGATAAACCACTAACCTTCTTAAAGTGTTGTGGGGGATGAGGAGTCCAGGCAGCACAGTGGTTAGCAACAGGTGACGCATCCAGGAAGAAACAGAACTAGGAGGTCAAGGGGTTGAGGCAGGATCAGGGTGGCAGGACAAGGAACGACTTATCTGAGGGGCAGGCGAAGAGCAGTGGTCAGAGCACAGAAAAGGGTCCAACACATGCAGGCAATGTCAGACAGTCAAATCCAGAGGCGAGGCAGGAGGCAGAGGTCAAAAGGCAGAAGAAAAAAAAACAAGCCAGTGAAGAATCCGACGTGGGCTAGACAGGGCAGGAAAATCCAAGGGACAAAAACCGTGTTCAAGATCGTGGTCAGGTCAGGAAGAAATGCTGGATATCTACTCACACCAAGGCTTTCAAAAATCTGCCACTGTCTGCCTGCCTGAGAGCTGAATATAACTGCTGGTGAACAGGTGGAAGACATGAGCCTGATTGTGCTCCAGCGCAGCAGCATGCAGGTGAGCCAGATGAGCTTGATGGGAGAGGTGAGTCCTGAGGAGAAAAACAACGCAGGCAGACGGGCCAGAAACATGACAAACGGAATAGACACATCTTCAGAAAAAAGAAGATTGGTTGGAAACAATGCTCTATGTTTAAAATCCTCAAGGCCTGTCTTTTTCATTTTTTGCCACTCAAGAATTTTCTTAATTGTTCCATGACTTTCAAGAATGACTTTTAACATAGATTTGAGAGGAACATACTGAAAGGTGTCTCGTACTGCTACTTGTTTCACTCTCCCTGTTTCTCCATCAATTTCCTGCATATATGAAAAGCCAGGAAAATGAATTGCTTCAGGTTGTATGAAGTACCCTGACTGGGTGAAATGCTTCATTTGTCAGCCCAGCTGAATATGTATTATGAATTACTCTTAGATGAGAAAAAAAATTCCTTATGTTATGTCCTAAAGACATTCCATATTTAAAACACACATATCCCATTTTGTCTTGTCCTATGTCTCAAAGCGTACCTCGAGAAATTTTGCAAAATGACGTAGAAATTTCAGACAAGGACCAAGGTGAGGAATCAGGGATGGCAGGCACTTAGCATCCAAAAGAAAGAAGCTTTCTTCATCAATGTTTGCAGCTGAAATATATTAGAAATTATATATTAATATTTTGAATCCAAAGAATTCCTGCCAATGCATGCTTTTAAGTACACACACACACACACACACACACACACACACACATACTTAACCTACCTGCAAAAGCAGGGATTAGGTCAGAAAGTTTCCATTCAGTCAGCTTCCGTTTTACAAACTCATCCATCTTTCAGATCTTTCAGGGGAAAAAGTGATAAAATTTAAGTCATTTTTTTTTTCCTATGTGGAAAATAATCTGCACAATGTGTGCAAAAATATTTTATTTAGAACAATCACTAAATATTTCACAGCAAATAAGACAAATTATAGGACATTGACTATATGTTTAGCAGCTAATAACCCTGAAACAAATGTAAAACATCGGTTTTTGGGACACCGGGAGAGATCACACAGTTCAGTCTTGTTTTCACCAGCTCTCCCCTCAGCGCAACCTGATACCTGACAACATGAAGCAGATCTGTGAAAACCCTAAAGTTAATCCAGCTGTCTTCACTAAGAACTGTACGTTTTTAATTCCACCTTGGTGGCTAATAATGGCCAGAATAACATACGTGCGCATTATCTAATTTCTGCGTCATGATGATGTTGCTGCTTACATAAAATCATATGGTAATGACAGATACAGTATAGCCGCCAGTTCGTGTTAAGCATACGACATCTCACAGAGTGTGCTGATCTGACAGAACACCGGTGGGGACGACTCCAAACATGTCGGAGAACTTTGAAATTAAGAGATATTTCAATAAATCGAGCAGATATTTAATCGTTACATAGTTAAATCTTCACTAGAAATCTGTAAAAATTACTTTTATTTGACAGAAAGCATAATATCCAACTTTAGCTTCCCCCTCCTCTGCCATTGGTGGTGCATACTTTTTTTCTTCTTCTCCACTGCCTCAATCGGTTTCACCCAGGTTAACCGTATAATAGCATAGCATAGTGTGTTCAGTAAGAAATAAAAGGCTTAATGAAAATGGCATTTAACAGTTATATTACTGATATATTACTATGAATACCTGTATACTCTGTACTGATCGCTTCGGACACCGCTACTGCAAGCCTCCAGTCCCTCCTTGTCGCTATAGATCCGTTATTAGCATTCTAGCTTAGCTACCACCTTTTGCGCGTGCTAGTGAACGAGGCCAGCGGAAACCAGGGGGCAAAGCGCCATCTCTCCCTCCCACACCCTCACCTTTTGTTTTTAAACCAAATTGGATAAATTATCTTTGAATTAAATTAATTATTTCAAAAACATTACCCTATCAACGAAGATGATAGGTTAAATCAAATAATTAAATTAAAGCTACATAAATTTAATTTAAAAGATCTGTATATAAAAAATACAATAACCCTATTAACTTTAAAACGATTATAACATGATATTGTAACTTACCATGTTTTATTTTAATTCAGAAGTCCAGTGTTGTCTGATCAGGTCACAGTCCAGTTGAAATTGGAGGTTTGTATTTGACCCAACCAATTGGGTAAAGTGTTGAGCCAACCAAACCTGAAACCTAACAGAATCAGTTAAGTGGAGTTCATTAAGACAAAACAAAACAAAAAAATCAACCCAACCGGTCAAAGTAACTCAACATATGACCCAGCATCTCTTACCCAGAAGTTGGGTTATGAAAATAACCCAACATTTTTTATTTCTCCTTCTATTCAGACATTTGCAGTGATTATTTTGGCCTCTGCACAGATTCCTAAAAATAAATAAATCAGCCGTCCGGTTTGTCTCAAACAAGTCTCACACCTTGACCAGTTGAGAAGGCTTCAGCTTGCAGTTTTACAAGATAATTAAACTGTCAGCTTAGCTATTGATACGAATCAGTTATTAATCAGACAGCTTAATTGTCTCAGCGCAGTTACATCAACCCACTTGGAGTCTCTAGCAGATTAAAATCTCCTACAATACCTGTCAGCCTCTCCTGTTAACTCCCGTTTGAAACTGCACTCGCTTGTCCTGATCTTTCAGTGATCTCCTCCATAAACCCGGCCGCCCACCCACTCTCTCCTTTCATTACTCGCTTTCTGCAGCAAAAGTCCCCGACTCGAGCTCTTTGCACTCTACAGATAATACATTCTGCGTTCAGCGGCGGCGAGAGCTCGCCAGTGGAGGCAATCTGCATTTCAACATTCTGTCCAAGCTGACAAACCATTTCAGGTCTAACGCTGCAAATACAGAAAGCCATACATGCTTGGTAATTGTGCACCATTCTGTGTCAAGCAGGTCATGCAGAAAGGCGGTGTTTTGTATTCATGAAGAGCGCTCATCATCCTCCTGCTGGATCAATTTTTCAGAATCCAATTGTTTTTTCTGGCTCCGTATCCAAAGAGAAGGAGTTTGAGAGGGACTGCCAGGATAATTGTCATTTGCATTGCAATGAAAACCTGTGTTGCGGGTGGGGGGGAGCTTTCAGCATGTCAAAACTTCAAAATGATCCTTAACTTCATCCAAAACCTAAATTTCTGAATGACTAAACAAATGTAGCTGAAGAGAGCTGCTGCTGCTGCTAAGTCCAGATATGTGTAAACAAAAACACACCCTCGTAAACACAACCTTTTTCACCTCAATTCCTGGCAGAATTTGCACCGAGCCGTCCTCTGTGGCATGAAAATGAGATACAGGAAAACGACAGGGACGGCCGTTTCGTGTCGGCATGGGAACATGACGATCCATATTTCCCCCCCCAGTCCTTTTAACCAGAGTAATTAGGTGATGTCATAGAAACGCACTCTCTGTGATCCTGAAAAGATCAGAACATAAAATGATGCATTTTGACAAAATTGAAAGAAACATCCTCAGATTCTGAGGCTGGTCTGGGGACGTTGCTGCATGATTCAGACTAATTTGCCGATGTTTACTTCCCTGAATCCACAGTCAAATGAAGACTGTCACCAGTTTAGTTCAGCTCAGCCATTAGAGAGCTTGGTCCCTTTTGCTGTGAATACAAATGAGAGGTTTAATGGCAGATTATCATCATGTTCCCCTCCCCTTAAGAAAAAAAAAAGCACTGTCTATTTACATAAGTGGACTCTGTTGGTGTGAATCATGCAGAAGCCCAGCGGTGCTCCGTCCAGTGTGTGTCTCTTTACATTAGCCTCTTCGAGCCCCATTGTTAGTCAATGCAGCTCCGCTGCTGGAGTTGTTCCTCAACCTGAGAGCTCTTTCTTTGCAAACAATGCAAGTGAAGTGTTTCCTGTAATTAGCACTGCAAAGATCTACCTTCTCCTTTCAAATCAAGACTCGATAAAAAGCAACGTGTTCACTGCTTTCTTGATACGTTGCCTGTAAAAAATAAATAAATAAAAATAAAACATGTAATTACTTGCTTTAATTTAAAAGACAGTTAATAACAAGGTGAAGCAATTTCAAAGGCAATCAGTAAGTAACAGTAACAGTGTGAAGAGATGAATCGCTAAGCGCTTCCTCCTAATTAGCTGTGGTTAATTATCGGGCTGATTATACAGACCTACATTTAATGTTTCCAGCAGTGTGTTGACTCAGTTCTCAGCAAAATGCACTAAATGTTTGACTTATGTGCACAGTGCAATGCAGAATCACTTACATCAATGAAACCTTTTTTTACTTTTTGTCACATTACAGCCAAATGTATATTGTAGTGATTTTATGAGGCACACCAAGACAAAGTAGCACATAATTGTGAACAGGAAGGAAAAGGACTGACGGTTTTCACAACTGCTTACAAATAATGATATGAAAAGTGTGGCATGCATTTGTTTTAAGTCAATCTTTTGGAGAACCACCAGCATTTGCAGCTGTCCACATCTACAGACTAACATTTTTACCCAGTTCTCTTTGTGATGAGCCGGTCACACCATCAGTAATGTGCAAGTGCTGCAGATTCTCAATTAAAGTCCTGACTTTGACTGAGTCTTAAGTATTTTGCAAACTGGTTTTCCCAGTACTTAGTATTTAGTTCCCTTCTGAAGTGGCAGGAGGGGGATTGAAAAATTGGTTTCATAGTAAGCAATGACTTCCAGTCGGAGAGCATTTTTACCCAACAAAGTAAAACTAAAGTTTTACAAGAATAAAATATTTTATTCCAAATGCAGTTAAGAAATGGCCTCATTAAAAAAACTAATACTGCTCCTGCAGGAGAAAGGTGTCAGGATATTGAGTAGTTTGTTTTGGGGTTCATTTCTGTGTTCCTTAGTTTCTTATTTTCATTAGATCATTAGTCTTGTTTCTGTTTTTATGCTAGTTCAGTCCTTTCTCGGTGATTGTAATTTTGTTTATTTCTTATCAAGTTATGCTTGGTTACTCTAGTTTAATTACGTTTCTGAAGTCGAGTTATTCTTTATTGTTAGATTCATTTTCCTAGTTCCCCTGTTGTGTAGTCTCCCTCACCCCCTGTGCCACTTCGTCTCTCTCTGTCTGTCTCTCTGTCTGTCTCTCTGTCTGTCTCTCTGTCTGTCTCCTCTCACACCTGCAGCCTCTTAGTCAGTCAGCCTGGTCTATTGGTCCAGCTTTCTCCCAGTATTTAATCACTCCTCTCTCGATCTTGTTCCCGGATCATGTGCCTTGTGCTTTTGTTGATTTCTGACGTTTTGTTTTTTTTTGGTTGGTTTTTTTTGTTGTCCTCTGGTTCCCTTTGCTCCCATGGTTGTTTTGTAAGTTTTCTTTGTTCTTATTTTTCCATTAAGTCTTCAGATCTACTTACTGCCTCAGAATTTGGGTCCTCTTCTTCGACACATGACAAAATGAGGGTGTGAGTTAGGAGCAGTCCTTCAGTCATTCCCCCTAATCACACACACACACACACACACACACACACACACACACACACACACATGCAATAATACAAAAACATTTCTTTCTTCTTCAGAGTTTTTGAAGTGCTTAACTAATAATTGTCAGAGTTTCTCACTTGAGTTTTGGATCTCTGTAGCTCCTCTTCCTTCTGAATAATAATAATAATAATAATAAAAACTATCTTCCTCAGCCTGTCACCTGTCAAAATAGTGACATTATACAAAAAACAAACTGAGAAGGCTGATATTTCAAGGCTGAGGGTAAAGGTACGGGTGCATTAGCTAAGATGATTTGTTTTCTTTTTTTCTGATTAGAAATCCACCAACTTCACATCATGTTTCCACTTTTCCTCTTGTTGTTAAGGCACCAGTAAAAGGGATTCTCCTCAATCCAAAAAAAGTGTATTCATACCTTACACTTTTTGGAGTCAAAATTTGAAGGAGCTAGGAGCTTAAGGAATCCCTGCAATGAGATTCACACAAAGCATTTGCAGCTGCATTTATTAACACTGACTCAGAATAATACACAGAATACAAAGAATATTGTGAATGCCTGCACATCCGCCATGCCAGCAAAAGTAGGAGACAAAGAGCATCTTGGAAGGAGGTGGCTCATGATGAGGAGGACAGAGGGAAATTTGCAAACACATTGTTAGATAACAAGAGTGTACGAGACCAAGAATGAAAGCAAAAGTGAGGAGGCGTGTGCGAGAAGAGCTTTAAAAAGACGTGTAGAAGAGGGACAACTTGCAAGCCAAAGTGATGCAGGGAAGGAGGCACATAACGTAAGGAGGCAATAAATATGTTTCAGCAATAAATGATGCAGGAAGACCTTTGGACCGGTAATTAGTCGACACGCAGCTTTTACTGAACTGTAATTATGGCTAGCTCCCTTGGGCAAATTGAAATTTTAGGGAGCAATACATCTTTTCCCCAACACTGCCACATTTTACTAAATGGGCTGAGATACTGCAGGTGACTTGCAGACAAACAAATGTACAATGCAGCGGCGTCTCTGGGGGCGAGCAGAAAGGGCCGGGAAGCAGCGAGAATGGATGGAGTCCGTCTCGTTTTCTCCCTCCAATTTATGCGTCGAGGAAGTTTAATAACAACGGACGGAGCCGTGGAATCGAGGTGAAAAGAAAGCTAATGTGTAAACATAAATATGACTGAGGCGGAGTGAAGAGCGGAGGAGAAGCGGAAGCAGGGATGAACGCCAAATGAATACTAGGCAGCTGGCAGAGATGGAGGTAGACGAGAAGGAGAGGTGCGAGATGCAATAAGATGCTCAAATGAGACAACATAGAAGAGCAGGCGGAGCCAGAGAAGCACAGTTCAGGTCTGAGGATGGAGATATGGAAGAAAATGGCAAATATAGAAGGTTATGAGAAGAGATTATTACTGGAACTACATGAGGGTGTTTAGAGCTGACTGCAGCCACTAAGGAAGAAATACATGGCAAGGTAAAACTTAGATGCCATGCAGAGCAACCAGTTACCTTCAGATGTCACATAACAAGCAAATACAGAGTGAAATCTGAGGTTTGTTAGAGAATATTACAGCTTTATGACAACAAAAACCAACGTTCAATACATCATCTGAAAGCATGAATTACCAAGATATGGTTGCTCACCTAAACTGACAGCTTGGACAAGAAGAGCATTGGTCAGAAAATCAGCCGAGAGGTCCATGCAACCTCTGGAGGAGCTGCAGAGATCCAAAGCTTAGCTGGGAGAATCTTGACAGCAGAATTGATCCTGCAAGATTTGAAAGAAAAAAGCAATGTTTGACTGAAACAGAAAGGTGACAGGGAACATGTGCATGTACAATGACGAGCATTATGTAGCATAAAGCTAACAGCCCAAACAAACCTCCCTACTGTGGAACACGGTGTTGACTGAGTCATGCTGTAGGAATGCTTTTCTTTTGTAGGAGCAGAGAAGCTGGGCAGTAGATCTAAAATCAGATCAATCATGGATGAAAGCCTTTCAGAATCAGCATAAATCTTGAGACCAAATCATAGTAATGTTTAAGAATGATCTAGTCAAAGTCCAGGACTGAAACAAGCCAAGAGTCTGTGGTGAGGTTGAAAACAGATGCTGGTTCAGATGAGCCGGAAAAGCTGCAAAGCTGGAAAAGGCTTGCCTGAAAAAATCTTAGATTTAATTGTAGTGATGGGCGGTTCTATTAAATGTTAATTCAGGGGAATTCACCTTTAATCCATCCATCGTCTAAACCTGCTTCTCCTTGAAGAGTGGAGAAAGACCAGCCCTGCCACAAATGTCTGATTTTAATTAGTAGAAAAGTTAGATGACTATGTCTTGATTTCCTTCCACTTCACAGTAATACACTGAATCATAATAAGATATATCCAAGTTTGTAATTTTTGACTGAAAAAATGTGAAACATTTTAATGGTTGGCATTACTTTAGCAAGTTACTGTAGCAAATAAAACAGAAACAAAGGCTTCTGAGGTAAAAAGTGAATTTGCCAAGAACAATTTTAGAGGCAACAAAGACAAAACAGATTAAATAAACCTTTGGAATCAGGGGAAAATTAATGTGCTCACAAAACGAATACCAGAAAACATTGAGAGAGAGAAAAAATTTAGAGCCCAGTGGTGTGAGAAAGGACGCTGGCCTTTATCGGAGAGAGAAAAACAGAAATCAAATCCTGGAATGCAAAAAGTGCCTCTTAGAAAGAAATAGACAGATGCAGAGAGGAATAAAGGACGGGGCTGACACTCAAATGTAAATAGGAGGCGAGGATGAAAACGGTGCACGCTGGCGGATTCCTCAAAAGCCCCTTCAATATGTATGAGGCCAACTCCGTAGAATACAGCAGCCACAAACAAGCGACCAAAAGAGGAGGGAGAAGAGCGGCGAGGCAGGTCGAGCTGAAAAGAAAGAGCTCTTCTCCTGTCAGACGACTTTATTTTGCGTCACTGCAGTCTGAGTCCAGAGAAAGAAGACCACCCAGGGTCTCTGTTTACATCCCCTGCTTTTTCCTGACACAACAGCCAGAGAGGCTGTATGGAGGCATCAGAGGGAATAAGCATCTACAACTGAACGCTAAAGTCAATTTACATCATTACAACACACACAAGACCCAAGGGGAAGAGGAACAGAAATCCTATCCATCTGTAAACAGCCCAGCAACATATTTCACTTACACAATAGGACTTTTAGCCCAGGGTTCTGTCAGTCTAACAGGAGCCAGCTGTGCTCTTTCTTCCTCAGGAGAGAAAGCTAAGTCATAATGAAAAGGCTTGAAGATTCAGATTTTCATGGGGGATGCTTGGCGCACCTGATCCCAGAGTCAACACGACCAAATCTGCACAGGAACACTGAGGTATCATTAATCTTAAGGGCTCAGAACATCTTCATATTCGCTCATTAGTCCAGCGAAACAAAGTGGAGCAAGAAAGAACTTGTCCTGCCTTCTAATGAGGAACAGCAAATGTGTGCAAAGTGACTCATTGTGGGATTCAAAAGCCTTGGGAAGACTTTGGAAATTGAGGAGATCCCATCAGAAAAGGGAAAGTACCAAACTGAGAGAGGAATCCCGAGTATAGGTTTGCTCAACCCTCGGCTTGACAACAAATCATTTGTGATCTAAAATGTGCCGTCCTGTCATGACAGTGACAGCTTGTGAGTGCAACCCATATGTCTTTAACAATTTTCACCCTGAGCTCTAAAAGCCACGATTCTGGTCCGTTCTCTTCTCAGGTATGGATGTTTACAAGACAGCTTTGCAAAGCCTCAGTCAAGACTTGAGTCTTGGAAGGTCAAGTCCAAGTCAAGTTAAGCCTTAAGTCTTTCACCTCAAAGTCAAGTCAGGTTTCCAGTCTCTAAAAACAGAACTACAATGGACTCTTGGTATTTGCCAGGGTCAGGGGCCACAGCCGCCTGTGAATGGCTAAAATCTGCAATTACTTGAGATCCCCATTAAAACGCTTACAGCTGCCTATTTCAATAATTCAAAAACATTATATGTATTAATATGCATTGATATGCACATAAACCATCTTGCTAAAATCTACAGGCTTTCTTCTCTCCACTCTTGGGGAAACAGCCAATCACTGCCAAGGAAAATAAACGTCATTTCTTGATTGGCTGCTTTAAAAACATCACCTAATTATTACATAGTCTTGATAGTCTAAAATGTGCTTTAAGCTCTTTCAGGGACAACAGAATAAGACAAATATCCCAACTTTCATCTTCTGAGACAAGAAGAAAATAGGATTTTAAATTATTCACAGCAGAACTGCAGAATAACCATATATAGGCATGTCTGCAGTTCAGCTGTTCTCTCTGCCTTTGTAGACAAACAGCGGTTAAAGGCAGCTGATTACAAATGCCTGCCACACTTTTCAAGTATCTATTTTTACCAAATTTTGAATAACAATGCATTACATCCCTTTCACTTCACAAGTATGCACATTTTCCTTTAACCATTTTGTTTTAAAGTGACAAAATGGGATGGTTCTGTAGACTCAAATACCAAACATAGAGTCAGAGTCGAGTCTAGAGCTACAAAAGGATCTTCACGTTTTATTAAGAAGTAGACAAACTTCACAGACCCTTTCCAACACTCAAACACCTTAAGAAGCACATGGAAAGAGATGAAACTTCAAAAGCAGACATTTCAAGAACAAGTGCGCGGTACGTACATGTTCTTCAAATGGTAGTTGCAAGAGACACCACTTCTAATAGGAGCTGATGGTTTACATCAGCAGCTACAGTGGTGTTAAAGATTCCTGTCGCCAGATGGGAAATCAAATCATTCCAGCTCTTCTACTTTTCTTTCAGGATCTGTTTGTCTTATATAATAGCATTTATATCTGAGCACTCCTGCTAAGCGATAACAATAAATAAAACAAAAAAACAAAATCTGCAGCACAGACAGAAGGCTGGATGTATACAAGCCGAGCGACAGTGTTGTAAATTGATAGCTCCCTGCGCTTTTTAAACATGGCAGTGTGACAAAAATAATCGCTGCACCAAAAGCCTGCAGGACTATTAGATAGCGGTAAATTCGTCTGACATGAATGGAGTGCCTGTGCGCATGCTAAAGATGTGTTTATATAAGTCTGTTTATGTATGCCTGAGCAAAGTGTTTGCATGTGTGGTCTCAGGCTGCAGCGGCACAGACTCAGCGTCTTTGTGCAAGTGTGCCACTCTGAAATCTGATTATTAGCAATTACCCCACCCTCCATTCAACAGGCACATGCTGCCACTCTGCTTTATTACCTCAAGCAATAAGGAAAAAAACAAAACAAAAAGACTTTTACGACCTCTGACCTCGCTCCCTCGTCTCCATATGAACAGTCGGCCCTCTGCCGCGGCATGCTCCTCAAGCCAAACGCCCGTCTCTCTCTAGGACAAATATAAAACCTTAAGGAATTATTTTTTATTGCCTCGTTTACCCTCCTTCTGCCACTTTGGTTTCCCCATTATTTAAAACGCGGAAAGTAAAATGAATTTTACAGCCTTTGGTTCTATCTGTCGCCCCAGAGGTCTCACTCCCTCTTTCGCAAATGGCACACTCCGCCGTTCTCCCTCCTTCCCATTACTTAACCCCGATTAGAAATGAATTTTACTGCCCATGCTCTTTCTTCTCGCTGTCCCATGGTTACTCATCCACACTGCGGCCATTGTTTGTTCTCCTTTTTCAGTCTGGAAGAGAAAGAGAATCTATTTTACAACACCCTCTGCTTCATCCCCCTCTGATTTCTTGCCTTTCTGCTTGTTGAAAAATGTGGGTCCGGAATCAATTTTTGGCGTCTGTTTTACGGCCCCTGGATTTTTCTAAAGGAGCGACACACTTCGGCCCCTCTGTGAAAGCCTCACGGCACATTAGCATACAGGTGGTGTCCTTTGTCCTGATCGGAGGCACACTTCTGCTCCATATACTGCCCATGTGTCCACTTCAGACGCCCACCAGTGGGGCTTTGTGAAAGGGCTGAGGGTATTAAAAGGTCACTTAAGATAACCAAACCTTCTGTTGCCACACCTCCTCAGACACCTACTGCTGTAGTGCCATTTTGTCTCAGTGCAACCAGACACCTCATCTATTTAATGCGAGTGTATTTGATAAACAACAAGAAGAGTGCAGTGGGGAGAGAACGTGATATGGTTAAAAAGTTTAAACAACTAAAGTCGTACTGATGGTTTCGCCCATTCTTCTTTGGAAAACAGCTCAATCAGACTGAATAGAGTGTTTGTTTTAACTGTTATGGCAGATGTATGATTGGATTTAGGTCTTAACATTTACTGGGACAAACACATTAATGCCGTGTCCAAGTTATTTTATTAGGCTTGTCCTCCTACAAGACGGAAACCTCCACCCACGTCTCGAGTGTTTTTAAGACTCTTACATATTTCTTTCCAGGATCATCCTGTAATTTCGCTCCGTCCGTATTCCCATCATTTCCAACCAGCTTTCCTGTCCCTGCAAAAGGAAAACGTCCCTACACTGTGACTCACAGTGTAGATCATAGTTTTAAAAAAATGCTAAAAAGTTTCATTTTTTTCCTCATCTGACGTTATTACACGTTTGCTGTGTCCAACAATGGCTTTCTTCTTGTTTGTCTTTCACAAAGGCCGAATATGAGGAGAATAATATCCTGGACATTACTTCCAACTAAGCCGTGGATATCTATCTTTGCCCACCCTATTAGTTAAGTCGGATGAACTTTCGTTTTGGTAGAGCTACGGTTTCCATTCCTAAAATATGGACCGATCAGAGCTATGTGAGACGTTTAAATCTTACGATCTTGTTTTATTACCTTTCCCAGCTTTAAACGTCGCAACATCTCTCCCCCCGATCTGTCTGCCGTGCTTTTTAGTCTTCATTTTTGTTTACTAATGGTCTCCAACAAAGCTCTGAGGGCTTCACAGAACAGCTGTATTTATACTGAGATTAAGCTAATAGCTATTTTCCTTGTGAAGACAATTGGCTGTGCTCAATTTTATTTTGGATAATCAAAGTAAAAGGGGATTTCATTGGCCATTAAAAATCAAAAACATGTCATTTTACTTCCATTTAATTACTATTTTCTAGTTTGTCTTTGCTCAACTCCCAATAAATTGGCTAAAGTTTATGGTAAAGTTTGCACTGTGACAGAATATGAAAGATGT